TTTTTTCCCAACAATCCATATAACTACAAGAAGAAATAAGATAAGTATGGCATATGACATAAAGGAACTTTCAATGGCAAGAATAGCTAATGCAATTCTAAAAGGACCTTCTAGAGGTATTTCTTGGGACAATGGTACTACCTCTGCATTACCTAAATACTTCACAACCCTTTCTGGAGTAATAGCTCTTGCAAAGCCTCTAATATATTTTCTCTGGCAAAACTTTTATCGAATTTCATAACTTTATCTTCAAGATCACGTTCATAGACGAGGGGTCTTAAATCATCACTGACTCAACCTGGTAGCTTTTGCGATAAATCATTCATAGATGGAGATGGGGAATTAGAGAGATCTGTTACTTCATTATGCGAAGCGCTTCTTGGCTCTTTCTTTAACACTAACTGGTCCTTGAGGGATCTATTTTCCTCCATTAATTTTGATCGCCCTGAAGACAGAATATCTATTTCCCGTTTGTATAAGTTATCTGACGCCTCTATCCCTTTTTCCATACATTCTATTTCATAATTTTTTAAATTTAGATCCTCCTTTACCTGTCCTAATTCAAGCCTGAGGGAATTGATCTCTTTAGGGTCAGATAAGTTTATTTGAGCTGACGTTCCCCCCATTATATCTGAATTATGGAATAGTGGATCTGATTTCATATCCTCTAACTTACCTTCCAATTCTCGTACTTTAGCTTCAAGAGAGAGAATCTCGACCTTATCAGAGGATGAAGCTTTCTGGACCAGGGTCACTTCTCTCTTCAGAGTTTTAATAGAAGATTTAAGCGATTTTATTTCAGCTTCAAGCTCACGTCGACTCTCAGAATGAGATTTCCGTTCAGAAATAAGTTGTGATCTAACTTTAGTACTGGATGCATTTAACTGACTAATTTTATTACCAATATCAGCATAGGTTCGCTGAACCTCTTTTTTCTGCTCCGAATACTCTGAATTTTCAGCCTGCAACTTTCGTTAAAATTAATAATTTCAGAGTTAAAATCGATAGCAATTCTTAACTTTTTTTCGAGCTTTTGCTCATATGTACTACTCAACTGATGCCCCCTTTTATTAATATCTTTCAATGTGTGTACATTAGACATAATCTTAGCATGGTTACATAGAAGGGAAAAAATGGGAAATAAAAATTCACCCAAACATTAATAGATAATTTGGCTATTTTCTCGCATATAATAACAAATGTTCTCCAATAATAAATATCGCTCTATATTGTTCTTTGCCATTCTAAAGTAATAAATAATATTTTTTATCGTTCGTTATCATTTTTTGTCGTCTTAAAACAATAAATAATGTTTTTTATCATTTTTTATCATTCTAAAATATTGCTAAAAATACTGGAGTAGAACAAGGATTAATGCCTACCCAATTTTTAAAAACTCATTATCGACAAGATGCCAGTGTTTTAACGCTAGAGCAGGTCGAAGAAATAAGATGCCTTAAAAATAAGATTCCCGCATATATGATAGTAAGGGACTACCATATCAATAAAAATCGTGTCTCTGATATATGAGACAATACTGAGCGTTTGCAACAGAATGGAGAATATATATTAGCAGATATGCTTCAAAAGACATCTAACCCCAACGAAACTGATAGTAAGAAAAAAAAGACTGGAGGGACTAAGCTAAAAGAAAAATCCAGGTCTAAGTCCGTTCGTATTTCTGAACCATCTGTCTCTCAGATACCCCTTTAGGATGATTCAACCAATCTCCGTGAATTTAGAAAGCTCAGATAAAAATCATGTAAATTTGGATGCATTGTATGAGAAGATGGTCAGAGAAAGCACAAAAATTGAGATGAAAAAAAGAAGCGTTATCCTGAAAATAACTTACCTATTCCCTAAGAAGACTATTACAAAATTCATTAATTTCCGCATTGAACTTGAGAGTAATAGAAAGTTTCTTCTCAAATTCTTTTATACGAATTGCTATACTCTCAGTCGAAGGTGCTAAAGTATAGCTCATTTTTTTTTAATGCATCATTATCCTCGCTTGCCGTTAGACATTGAGGTACTTCGCAGGTGCTTCGCAAGTCCTGCAGATCCTGAGAAATCTTATCTGAAGCTGGCAAATCATCGTTAGTTATGCTAACCGCGTAATTCACCTCAAGCTTGTTCTTGACCTTATGCATGGTGACCGGAATAATATAATCTTTTCCATTCAGAGAGATCTTTAGCTCGTTGGTATCCCAATCCATTGTGCATTTATATTTTTTCAAGAGTTGGTTAGAAAATATTAGGGTTGGCTTATGATAATCTACAACTATAAAATCTTCGTAAATAGTAAGTCCTGGAGCTAAAGTAATTGGCAAATTGCGGACAATACCAATAGATTCAATAGAGACAGTAGTGATACCGTTAAGGTCGTGATTTTCAGATTCATCTATTTTAGCTTTAACACGATCAACAATGTTTTCGTTATAATTGGAGGCTCAGCTCCAGAGTCAAGAGTCATAGCTGGAATCTTTAAGCGCCAGATTTTGCACTTTATAGTAGCAACACTTGTTTTCGGTTCCTTCTTCTGAACGAAATCAATCTCCATTGGATCATCCAAAGTTTCCTCTTCATCTGAGTCAGGTATAGTGGGGGTTGGTTCCCGAAAAGATGAGAAATCATTAGCTTTCTGTTCAACCTTTTCTTTAGGGGGATTTCTGTGACCGTAATCGACAGAGTAGGTACATATAGTGCAGATTTTTTTATATCGAGTGGTAGAAACGTGATGTCATCCATTTCTGGAGATTTGTGTTTACAAAATTCATCATGTTCGGTCTTGTCTAAAAAGGCAACTTTGATGATGGCCTGATTATGTTCGGTTGGATGCCTTCCTTTTGTGGCAATAATAAATGAATTGTATTTATCATAACACAAATTAGTGATCATCGAGATTTTCATTTGGGGGATCAGGCCGCAGAGTTTATCCATCGGAATATAGACAAAAAATTTTGCGACTTGCATTGAAGGGGCATCAAAACCAATGGTCGAAGTGTTTAGGAGGTTTTCTGACGCGTCAAAGGACTCGTCGATGCTGGTAGTCAGTTTGGGCGCAGTAATTTCTGAAGTAGAAGCAATGGTTTCAATACTTTTTCCTTTATCAAGGTTGTTGTTCGAACCTTCCTCGACTGGGTCAACTTCCATGGTGTTTGTTTCTTCTAGTAGTTATATGGATTGTTGGGAAAAAAATATGGGATTTATGGAAAAAAAGTAATACTGAATACCCTCCTAACCGGAA